ATTACTTCCTTCTTTAATGTTGCCAAGAATTTAATAACAATTTAATAATTTTAATATGAATAATAACATCAATATCAATAGTATTAGAAAGAAAAAGAGATTTTCACACAGTTTCAAGGTATGGGGAAATCAGTACCAGTCACTAGGGCTTACTGATGGACTTCTTGCTGGCTAAGCACATGTAGCCCCCAATTACTTGCTCTTTGTTGTCATGGGGGCTTTAGGAGAAGGGGACTCAGGTCTATTGTAGGGAATCACTCCTACTTTGTCCTCAGCCCTCACCTCAACTAATCTTACATTGTCTTTTCTTCTCCTTTCCCTTTTCTTTTCTTCATCCCCTTGTTCAGTTCACTTATCCTAATCATTCAACTCATTTTTGCCATTTTTGCCACAATACTTTATCATAATGCTTCCTACTCCCTTAACTCCTTCGCCTTTTAACAACCTTTACCTTATTCTATACCCCATCAGCTCCTCCTCTCTACCCTTTTCACTATCATACTACCTTCTAGCCCCTTGGTGACGGGTTAAGAAAACTAAAAAAAAACTGCGCTCTGGTGATCAATGGCAGCACTCCGAATTTGAGCACGGGAGTTCGGTACATCAAGCCAAATCACCGGCTCGACGAGGTTTACAGCCACACACCACATTTCGAGCGGTTTGTTTTCACTCCTATAGGCGTGACCCGTTGGGAAGGGGCTAGCACTGTTCAACCTACCCTAATCATTAACTCATTCCTAACCCTTTTTGCAACATATGACCTTTGATGTCATATAGCACTTCTTTACCTGGGGACTTTGCACCCAAGCCTCACGCTATCACTATATTTTGAATACACCACGTATAACCTTAGATGTTGACAGAGCAGAAAATAATAATCACATGTGGAGCCATCTGTTTGTAACAACATTCTCAAAAAACTGCAGGAGACCGTACATAAATCCAGAGATTCGGTTAATGTGTGGAATAAAACATTATTATGCATTTTTTTTTTTTTTTTTTTTTATTGTTTTGACAATGTTGTAAATCATTTTTGTGATTAAATGGATTTCCTTCCTCAGCTACCACCAGAGATATCATCATGTATTGAGACAAAATCTTTTTTTGTTACAACTAGAATTTTACTTAATACAAAACATATCAGTAGCTCATTTTATATGAAAAATAGATATCTTTTGTGCATGTTATTCCATAAATATAAAATCTTAATATATTCTATATCATAAGGTTTATGATTTAATTTCTGACATTCTTTTCAAAAACTGTGGAAATTAATATAATATAAAAATCTTGCCTACAATCACTCATGTACAAAGCATGTTCACAAACTATTATACAATAATTAAAATAATTTGAGTCTTTATATGGCTTACATTCATTTGTAAAATATGTTTCATTTTTGTAAATGTACTTGCAAGAGTCCTGAATATACTGACTACATTCTAGCATTTTTTCACAGTGCACAAGCATACAAAGAAAGGCTGCTGAAATACATAATCACAGGCAGAGCCATAGTGGGTAATCTGGATGTGTGACCAGAGGGGAACAGTCACTTAAGTTTGTTTAGGGAGCGGGACTAAGGCTACTGGTACAGGGCACTTGGTTGTTAAGTAAGAATTGTATCTAAATGGAGATAAAGTTAAGAATGAGCTTGTACCTGGTTACCATTTTCCTACCTGCATACCTTGCTTTTCATTATTATTATTATTATTATCATTATCACAATTATTATTACTTTTATCTTTCTAATCATCATAATCACCAACATCATCATTATTATCCTGAGCATCAATGATTCTTGTCATTATGCTCATGACAAAAGATGACCCCTAACACAACATTATCTATTCACCAGCCTTTGTGATTACACTAATATACTCTAATAAACACAAGTACTCGTAACTTCATTGCTAGACTAATTCTTTGGCATTTCAGGTGTGAGTTTCAACTTTCAACTTAAGATTAAAATTCAGTTACTAATGTACTTTTAATGTACTTATTGGTACACAAGCTTAGATAAAATTTGTCCTTCTCTTTATTCTTCTAATTATTTTTATGAATACCCATTAACATAATCATGATAATTGATAATCATCATCATCATAATAACAATAGTAATAATAATAATGATAACATTGTAATAATGAGAGATGATTATAATATTAATAATAACAATAATGATAATGGTAGTCATAACAATACTAATAATATGAATGATAAAATAATAATAATGATAATAGTAATAATTACAACAACTACTTTTTCTCTACCTTTATGATGATGCTGATAATCATCACACACTTGCACATGTCATCATAAAAGTAATGTTACTAATGAAATAAAATACCATTTCTGATAATGGTAATAAAGATAATAATCACGATAATTATAATAGTAATGACAATAATAATAATGATGACATCGACAACAACAACAACAACAATAACAATAATAATAATAATAATAGCACTAAACATAATGATTATAATGATCATAATCACAATAAATATACTACTACTAATTAGGTCTAATCACAAAGGCTTTCTGCCCCGCTCCCAGCTTTCTTACCCTATGCTACTTTTTCTCTACCTTTATGTCATTTATGTCAAAACTGTCCATCCTTTTTTTTCCTTTTTGTATTCCTCTTTTCACTAAATGGCATATAGTTCTAGCTATCACATTTTTCCATATATTTTTATCTATCTTATCTCCCTATCTATTTTTATCATCACCTTGGCATAACTGAATATATATATAGCTAGCCCCCCCTCTCTCTCTCTCTCTTCCTCTCTCCCACTCACTCACTCACTCACTCACTAACTCACTCACTCACTCTCTCTCTCTCTCTCTCTCTCTGTTGTCCACTGGATGTAATAAATTTATCAAATAAAAAATCTATCTTCCTTCCCCCCCCCCCTCTCTCTCTTTCTCTCTCTCTCTCTCTCCCCCTTCCCCTCCATCTCCCTCTCCGCACATACCTTTAGCCATATATGAAATGAGACCTTCCCATGAGCATCTTAAAAGTGTCTCTAACTATATTCATAAGGTCCTGAGGGTATTTTTAAAAATCTAGTGTCTAAATAGACAGACATATATATATATATATATATATATATATATATATATATATATATATATATATATATATATATATATATATATATATATATGTGTATATGTATGTATATGTTTATATGTATACATATACATATGTATATATTTGTATAAGTATACATATGTATATATATGCACATATATACATGTGTACATATATATATATATATATATATATATATATATATATATATATATATATATATATATATATATATATATATATATATATATATATACATATATATATATATATATATATATATATATATATATATATATATATATACATATATATGTATATATATATATATATATATATATATATATATATATATATATATATATATATATATATATGTATATATATATATATATATATATATATATATATATATATATATATATATATATGTATATATATGTACACATGTATATATGTGCATATATATACATATGTATACTTATACAAATATATACATATGTATATGTATACATATAAACATATACATACATATACATATATATATATATATATATATATATATATATATATATATATATATATATATATATATATATATATATATATATATATTTATATATATATATATTTATATATATATATATACATATATATATATATATATATATATATATATATATATATATATATATATATATATATATGAACATATAAAATGGAAAACACACACATACCCAAATGCGCGCACACACACACACAAACACACACACACACACACACAAACACACACACACACACACACACATACACACACACACACACACACACACACACACACACACACACACACATGTATATATACATATATACATATGTATATGTATACAAATAAACATATACATACATGTATATATACATACATGTATATATACATATACATATACATATACATATATATATATGAACATATAAAATGGAAAACACACACATACCCAAACACACACGCACACACACGCATTTATATACAATGTAAAAACATTTATCTTACAAATTTACTGAGTATTGTAGGGTTACATAAAATACAAAGTTTGAAAATGCCAAAGAAAGTATGTAACACCTAAATTGTCAAATTAAGGTCTTAAAGTAATCTTGAATTCTGCACAGAAACTGGAAGCTCATGACACAGATCAGAGGATGCCCACCGTAGGGTCATTTAGAAGTTTTTCGCCAAGGTTCATTGTTCTTTTCACTGCCTCTGCTGCCTTACGGACTTCAGTTTGATGGATGGCATCTG